AATTACACTGAAGAAATCATTTTTGTTCTTGTTTTTAAATAATGTAAAATCAACTTATTTTCTCTTCCTATCTAGCTCACATTTCTAAGTTAGTTGCTTCTAACTTATTTGTAACACAGGTAATCTCATCCCAATCATATTACTGCTAGCAATGCACTCAAAGCCCGTTAATTTAATCCTATTAATGACAAAAGGATTTATCTAACACGCATGTGCATGTATGCATTTAAGATATATGTCCACACATGTATATACACATATGGACACACTTTCTCATGGATCTTAGCTTCATTTTTAATACTAGACTATGCATATTAAATGCCTGAGAAGTTCATTTCGTTTGCCGCATAACCTGACTCTCATTTAGCAATATTCATACTGTCTTATTTAAATGTGCATCATTTTAATGGCCACAAGCTGTGTTCATATGGATCCAGTGCAGGACTGAGCCTACTTACGGAGAATAAAAATTGCAGAGTGAGGCCATGGTAGCCTTTTCTCAGAAAACTTCTGACTACAGTTGTAATGGCGAAAAGGTGACATCCACCTGCAGAATCCAGCCTTGTTCCTCATAAACCCTCCTCAAAAACGGTGGGACCTCAGACCCTTGTGATCAATCAGCTCACAGTTAAAGGGTGATGGATCCATTTAACATTTAGGTCACAAATTCAACCATAGGCAAAAGATGCTGCTGTCTGCATTTTAGTGACTGGATATTTGGGTCACATTTTCAGAAAACTAATATGGGAAGAAGTTTGCGAACATTAAATGTGCGTGTGCCTGAGGACACGACTTTGCAGGGGACTGCCTTCGCAGGGTAAGATGACCTCAGCTCCGTGATGCTTCAGCAAGATGTGTCTTATATTCAAGGGAACTTACTAAAAGCTGGCTCAGTACCCCCGTGGCAAACAGCAACCGTAACAGTCTCCACAGCAGAGCAAGTGGACTAACAAGGATTTTGTATCACCAGCCTTCCACCCGTTACATTTAAAAGGCTCATAGAAGGTATGGGCATTAGTGAAAGCAACTGTCCTACCCAAAAGAATCATGCCTGTAAAAATAAATGTAGTAACTTTGAAATTTCAGCTACTATATTTTGATGCTTGGCTTTATGGAGTCTATTCTCCCCTGTCTGGCTGCTACAGAGAAGTCTACTGTTAGCTATTTAGGCCAGGTCTACATTTCAGATTTTTATAGGCACAGCTACATGTGTTGGGTAGAGATGAGGGCATTACATCCCAAATAAGGCTGCCAGTGCCAGCAAAAGTCCTGCTGTTAGTATAGTTCATTGTGTTTGAGCAACTAGTATAAACGTAATTAAAACAGGTCCTTTCGCGATACAAACTGTATACCCATCTGGAAGGCTTGCTTTCTCAGCTTAGCATTTTCTCATTTGCAGATAAGGACTGTTCTGTGGCGTCAGGCAGGAGCTTATAAGCATTTTCTCACATTCTCCGTTATGAATCGTTGTGGACCACGCAACAAAAACCACTATTACAATAATTTTATTTCTATGTAAAACCAGGGATACTCCCAGAAGAAAGGCTAGGAGTGATGCCAAGAAATAGCATACTAGCCCAAAGCAGTAATAACAGAGAAACTCTGAGATAATACCTCCTGCATAGCTAAATCTCTTCATAACTTTATCCAGGTTAAAAAAACCTGAAACAACAAAAACCACATACAAAAATCCCCAACCAAATAAAAAACCCCAAAGGAACAAAGCTGTTTTCTCCCCACTAAAATTTCTTTCATTCTCATTTTCATCGGTGTATTTCCAGCTGTTTCTATTATGGAAGCTGGTCCAAAAAAAGAGGCCATTTTTATATGTGGAAAATTAATTTCTTTCAGTCTGTTTGTTCTGTGAAGAAGCTTGACTAATTTATTTCCATTGTCATTTATCTTCAGAGTTCCCTGAAGTGACTGCAGTTCCTATTGAACTAAATATTCTCTGAGTCTCTAATGTGTTTTTGGTTTTAGACCCACCATTTTACGGATGAAATCTGGGCTGTTCAACTATTTAACCATCTGTTATCCTCCCAAATTAGATTCTTAAAATGTCTAGGTGCAGTCTCAGAAATGGTAATGAGCATTTAATATTCTGCTCCACAAAATCTTACTCCTTGCGGTCATTTGATGTTATTATCGGAGGAAGTCGGGATGGAAGCTCAAGCAATCTTCTGGTTTATTGGAGTATCATTTACCATGCTGCACAGATGTCCCCATACAATCTGCCCATCTGTCAAGGTTTATATTTACACAGCTGAAGAGATTTCAGTGTAGATTCCTGTTGTACTCCCAATCGCTCATTCTGTGTTGGCATCTGTTTATTTTATTACTTGGTTTATCATGAGAAATAATTAAAAAACAATCAATCTGAATAATTTCTGCAGGGGATTGTCAGGCTGCTTTTTTCTCTTCTGAAAATCTCTGTAGTTGTCTTCTATTTCTCCTTTGCTGTCTCAAAAGAACACCTCTTGTCTTTTCCCACTTCTTGGATAACAGAGCAGACATACAACAGGAGAGGGAAACGTCGGTATTGTCCAGGAGAAGGGCAGATGTTAGTAACTGTTTCAGTATGCTGTTTTGCTTTGGTTCTCATGCAATTGGAAGCATCTGCATCATCTTGTTTGAATTCCATAATCTCTTTTGATTAGACTCCTCCTTCTATTCTTTTCTTTTCCCTAACTTCAAAGAAATATTACACCTGGAAATTTTCCAGAGCCTTCCTGCACAAGACAATTTTGTCACATTCCCTTTACAGCATTAGGACCTTGGTAGCTGCTTTCCATATCGTTAGTTCCTGCGTGTCAGGACCTGTAACAAAGGAGCTGGTTTGGCCAACAGCTCTTCGGTGTTACAAAACGATTTCTGATGACTCACTCTGATGAGATATGGTTTGAAACCTGCCAGCAGTAGCCTGCAGCAGCAGGGCTCGGGTCAGACAGCCTCCTTCAGCACTCAGGGTGCCGATCAAGAATGAAGATTTATCCAGAGGACAAAACCAAAGGACGGCCAAACCCAAGTTGCTCGTATTGTTGGCACTGAAGAAATGATTCAAAAAAATATAATTTGACCATATAAGTTGAGGCAACCCCAGGACGTCAGCCTGCGGGTAGGGGTCTGCATGGGGATCAAATGGTCCCATGGCTGGGCAGCAGCACGGGCAGGGGCTCAGGGCCAGTAAGGGCTGGTGATGTCTTCAGGGCTCTGGCAGGGAATATTTTCTGAGGAAGCCACTTGTCAATTTTATGTATTTATGTATTTTAATGGTTTCATGTAAAAAAAATAACCTGTCAGGGTCTCGGAATATTATCCATCTAAGGACCCAGTCCAAAGGTTACTGGACTTAGCTATGTTGGCTGAGTGGCCAGGGCAGGGGAAGGAGAGGTGGTGGGATGAGGTGACACTCCAAGATCAGTCCAAATAAGAGATAAAATGCTACTGTAATAACATTAACGGGAAAGCTTTACGCTGTTATCTGCTTTTCCTTTCCAAACACAGGTTTGTCATAATATTTTATAGGGACGGTTTTGCTTTAGAAGCCATTCACTATTTTGCACTCCAGCCTCATTTTATCTTTTCCGTCAGACACCAGCTATAATTAAGTTCACAGACCTACGTGAAAATCCTCATGGGAAACAAAATGTTTCTACTTCATGCTCCTGCACTGATTTTTATCTGAGGATCACACAGTGTTTTACCATTGATAATTAATCTTTCCAGGAGCTCTTAGACACAGGTGAGAGCTATTATTCAGGAACAGTAATTAAGGTGAAGAATGCCATGAAGGTGGACAGCACCTGTCGAGAAGAGAGGGCTGAGCTGAACTCAGAGTGCTGTCGTGCTGGAGAACCTCTGGTGGCCTCTCTCTGTTCCTCAGTTTCCCTCCTTGGACAATGATGCCTTTCTTGCTGTGAAGTCTTCAAGACTTACCAAGTAAAACACTTCATCAAAGAGTTAGGTATTAAGCCTTTTAGACAGGATAATAAATAGATGCAGATCAAGAGGCTTACTCGATAGAGCACAGTAAAACTTTTCTGCTTAGGGAAGCCATGGCATGTCGTGACTTTCTGCAGGTTTGTGCAGGCTGATCTTGTATTTGGTGTGCAAACACAAGGATGCTGAAGTTTCAGTCTGGATGAAAACTAATGGATACACACTGCAAAGAGGTGTTTCATGAAGGCTGTGTATTAAAAGGAAAGCGGCAGATTGTAGGAGTGGAAAGTAAAACTCACATGAATAACTGTGTTCGTTCAGTTCAAAGTCGTATGCTTCAATTTGTACATTTCAAATATTTTCCAGTTTTATTTACCTGCTAACTTCAAAGGTCAGAATGCTAATTGCCCTGCCGTGACATTTAATGACATCATTGTCACCTAACACAGAACAGGAAGGGTTCTTTTCTCCCCTTTCAGGTTTTCTAAGGTTCAGCGGAAACTAAATTAGGTAAACACATCTTTATATCTTTTACTCCTGGCACATGTTACAGGAAGAATTAAAAAAAAAAGTCGATTCATGTTACAAGTTATCACAAGGCAGGCTTGCCAGTAAAGCTGCTCCCTGAAGCTGAGCTAGTAAAACAATAATGAAGATATTAAAAGTTCTCACCTAATGATTCTGGTTTGCAAGTACCATGCTGCACGCTACTTTCAGCCCTCTCCTGGCAATAGCCCTCGTGCCCTGCAACAGGCAACCTGTGTTCTTCAAAGGCGTGTTTCCACAGCGGCTGAATACGGGCAACACGAGAGAGCCGCTTCTCTTTGCGCTACCTGCACGAATAGCTTCTTTGAATTAAATGAGCCCATCTCGCATGGTCATTCAGGACTGCACGGCGCAGGGACAACAGCGGACAGCTTGCTCTGCGCCTGCTCCTGTTTGGATGGATTTTTCTTTTGCCTCTTACTGGTGTTCTGGCTTTGTCCAGCACCCTCAGACCGGGAGGTCATGGAAATCTGCCCACTGACCTAGTCTCTTTCCTTCTGTCACCTTCCTTCTAGGTCAACGTGATTTTGATTTAGCTGATGCTCTTGATCACCCAGGTAAGTAAATCTCCTATCCTTATTTTACCATGGCATTTAGACGCCATAATAAATCTTAAGTCCTTTTCCTCGAGGACTGGAATATGAAGTGGCTAGTACTTAAGTTAAAGATATACAGTATTGAGAAATGCTAGATTTCAATGTTTCTGCCATTAAATTGAAAGTTTCTTTAAAACAAAAAAAAAGGCTTTGAAAACATATCCCCTCATTTTTAGCTTCTGTCATGATGCGTAAAGATTTATTGAATGCAGCTCTCTAGATCTGCAGATACCTTCTTTTGATAAGTTGAAAAAGTTTAAGCTGTTATTGTTTATTGGTATGTCATTGTGTTCCACAGAGGACATAATTACCAGGAAGCCTACAGTGATCAGAAGACCGACAAGGCCTGTGCTTAGTGAGTAATGAAGACAACGGCTCATAACAGATTTTAGATATGTAGAAACTGTCTCCCATGAGATTCTTGATCATATTTCCTAATGTACTGTAGCTGAGATCATTTGTGTGAATACTAGCTGTCTTCTGTATGTAAAGTAAGTGTTTTTTTGACAATTACCAATTTGTAGACCAGCAGTCTTTACTGCTTCCAGTAAGGCTTTAGAGCATGACTGGCCACTGATGGCATTTTATTTCCTGAAGATCTTCTTCACCCTTTTCCAGCCTGTATTGAACTCCCTGGGGACTATAACCATGGGTAACTGTTGCTAAAAATGGGTAACTGTTCTTCTGCTTTTTTTTCCATTACCTTTTCTTTTAGCATAAATATTCATGATTCTTAATAACAGACTTGGAAAAGAATCAGAAGGCATTTGGGTATTCTTTCTTCTCCCCATGTATTTACTTAATGTTAGCTAGTATTGATTGCTACAAAGACCTGTGTCAGAAAGTAAAAAAGGCTCTGAACAGCTGAGAGAACCAAAGGGTTTTAGCTGTAGTCCTGAGGATGACAAATTATGATTTCCAATGAACACTCGTTATTGTTGAAAAAACCCAAACCCCAAACAACACCACCACCACGCATGCACTTATGATGGAACATTTTATGATAACATAGAGATTTTTCAACTAAACTACCTGAAGTAAATTTCTGGCTATAATACAAAATGCTTGAATCAGGAAATGCTGGATAACATTAGCCCACAAAACAACTTTCAGCTTTTTTCTGGATAAACATTGCAATAAGTCTTTAGGTACACAAAAGCAGTTACATTTTCGACACGATTCTCTGGCTTGCTCTTTGAACAAACAAGGCAGTGTTTTGCAAATGTGGAAGCTACTAAATCCTGTAATGGTTGCATTCTTCCTTCCCACTTCATTTTGCAAAGAAAATCTGTGTTTGGCCTAGATTAGAAGTGTCTGTTGTAAGGTACTGCTAAGCCGCTGCCCTCCACTTAGCTAACTGTCCTGACTTCCTTTAAAGTCTGTGGAGAGAAATCAGCACAGGATCATAGAATCACAGAATGGTTTGGGTTGGAAGGGACCTTAAAGATCATCTAGTTCCAACCCCCCTGCCATGCATGTCTAGGGACGGTTCATATCACTTTAAATGTGGATTTGTTCTCATCCTGACATTTTAAGTAGGTTACTTGAATCGTGCCCTAAAAGACTCTGCCCTCAGTCATGTTTAAAGGTTAACCTAGGGATGCCAGTATCTACAGTGAAGCTGCCTCAGTCAGGTGAAAGGAATTTGATTTTTAGGGACTCCTAAATCTGCTAGAGGTATGGCCATCAGGTGATTATCTGCCCTACCTGAATCAACTTCACTAATTCTTGGGAATGGAGAAGTCCATGTTTTCCAGACCATTTTGGAATCTCTTTCAGCACTGAAGAGGATTGCAGGGAGTTTAAAAGCAATTAAAACTAATTTAAAAAAAAACTGTTAAAAATCAGTTACTGTATTTGGAAACGTGCAGAAAGATGATACAAAGGTATGTCCTAGCATCTGCCTGATGCTTCATCTTAACCTCAGGGTCTCTATGTCTCATTCAGCCAGCATCATTGAGAAATGAGGCTGGCTGAGATGATGATTTTGGTTGAGCTGGGGCCAATTACTGTACAGGCCATGTCCTCTGGGCATCACCTCCCACATGGAAACCTCTGCCTGAGCTGAAGCTCTCTGTAGGCACCTCCCATCTAGTGTAAAAAAGTTCAACACAAAACTTAATGGAAGGAGAAGGTCATGTTTATTTGCAAAATCTCTAAGTTGATTTTACCCACTCACATTCATCCTGCCATTGATTTAATTCAGCCACACGCTCAAACCCACACATGCATGAGCACCAAGATGTGTGTGCTCAGGTGGTCTGGTGAGCATCATGTGCAACACAGGACAAGGTATGCCAGCTACTGAGTCCTTATCCCATCTCTGCGGTTCTTCTTGATCAGAAGTGACAAGCTAGTTTATGTACAGATCTTTCAGACCCTTTAGGAGTCATCAGCTATTATGGAGAGGTCCTTTGCCTCAAAATCTTGCGTACTTCAGCAAGTACGTCTCTGAACCCTAGGGCAGGTTGCTGCCCACTGTCTGGTTTTGCTTGTTTGGGGTACACAGACTATGTCTACAGCCTATTTTCTGGGTGGGTGAACAGAAAAGTAATGGAATAGGCGATATGCTGCAACCTTTGGCTTTAGAGTGCCCTTCTGCTTTTCCTCTGCTGACAAGTCATCTGTGCTGTCGTCTTATCGGAGCGCAGGCCTGCTGGTTTTGACAGAAACAACACATTCCTCAATTTTACTGCTGGGAACGGTGACCTTCATTGTCTGTTCTTTTAACCCTTTGCTCTGCTGTTTCTTCTGGTCCCTACAGACTCACACATTTCCATTTGTATTTCATTCATATCAACCTTAGCATTTCTGCAACAAATCACTGCATGAACCCTCCAGAGTGGAGCCCTGCATTTTACCTGAATTCTTCATCTCAATAATAAATTGAATCCAGTTTGCAATTTATTGCTTCTTACAGTGTTAGTATTTGACAGATAAAGGTATTTTTGAAATGCAACTCTCTGCTGGCCAGACACAGACAGGATCAACACCTGGCTTGACAAGAACAAACTGAGTCACGAATTTGATTATTTTCCTGCCAGATTGGTGACATCAAAGCATTTCTGAGTTGTTACACAAACGAGACTAGATACCGTGCAAAAGCAGCTTCCCACTCCCTCTGGATATAAAGAACACATGAAGGCAGACTTTTGCACTGGTGATGCATTTGGATGGATTTTCCTGCATTTTGGGAATTCTGACACAATTATAATGAAAAAACAAATACTTAATTGAGTGTCTGTCTAATTTTCTGTGGCAATAAGCATTGGTATCAAAATTTAGGTAGATTTTGCTGTCCCTTCTGATTCATTCCAGCACTCCACATTTATAAAGAGCAAGAAAGGGATCGTTGGAATTATGACATCCATCTAATGTATTTCTGCCTATCACTCAGTGACCTTTCAGAGCTCACCGTCTTTCCATACACATCCTAAAATACCAGCCACATACTCATATCCACACCTGCATGCTGGAAATGGAGTTCCTCTTGTTTATGCATCTGCAGCTCATTGAAAAATTGTTTATTGGAAGGAAAATTCCATCCCAGGTACAGCAAGACACATGTACATTGCTGGGGGAATGGCAATAGCCTGTTGATTCACTGCATAACATGCACATGCAGACATTTAAGTATATTTTAAAACATTTATAGCTCAGCCAAAGAAAAACAGACTGTCACCCAACCTCAGACAGGCACGTATGATCGCTTGAAGCAAAAATTTTTATGTCACCATGACCCTTACATAAATTAGTTGATTTGATTATCTCTCCCTAGTAGGTTTATTACTTCCCAGTATTTGTTCTTGAAAAGGGTATTCAGTTTTTGCAGTTCAACAAATTACACGTGAGCCAAACATGCATATACCAGACATAAATGTTAATAAATAAGACATAAATGTTAATAAATAAGTATATTTAAAAAATACATTTTAGTATCTTAACATAGCTAATTTTATTTATGTACTTGCAAATATATGAAAGAAGTATTGATCTTGATTCCATTATGAGATTTATTCTGAGCTTATTTAAAGCAGAAATAAATCTTTTGTATTTTAAGTAGAAAATACTGTATCGTTTGCCAAATATTGTGTGGGCAAATATGAAATTCTGTAAGAGTTTTCAAGAAAAGTGTAATACCTTATTTGAATTTGTGGGACTGACCTGAAAAAGTTGCTTGTCAAACATTCAGTTGTACATTTTCTATTAAAACTAACATCTCATTTCCCTCAAGAATTGTGTGTAACTCACTTCTCCACATCTTCCTCCTTTTCATTTTAGACAACGATCTGCATTTAGGAGATGCTCTTGGTGGGGGTGAGTACTCTCTTCTGTTCTCAAATATAATGGTTGGGGTTTTTTGTAGTCTTTTTCTGAAGTCTGCCTAATTTGTGAAAAGAGATTTCAAGACTGAAGGAGGAACTGTAGTAATGGGAGTCATTACAACTCATGTACATGCAGCCCTTTTGCCAGAGGCCATCGTGCAGAGCGGGGACAGCAGGATGGGCTGTGTCTGGCTGCCAGCTATGGGAACTTGTAGGCTGGCCTACCTGCGTGAACTAAGTCAGCTACGGTTTACGTTACCATGCCAGGCTGCCACAGTCATGGCCGGGGAGAGGATGTACTGCCCGTTCAGCCGTGATGGTTCAGGGTGGTGGCCTCTGGCAGAAGGTTGAAGACAACAGGTGATGGCAGTAGTTTCTTCAGCTACCAAAATGAGTCTGCATAAGATTAGTAATCAGAGATAACAGCGGATGGAGAGAGATGTGAGCTTGTTGTAGCTCTGCTGATCCCAGATCAGAAATGCAAGAAGGAATGTTTCAGAGATAAGCACTGATGGACAAGATACAGCTTAAGCTTGAAACAATCAAGCAGTTGTAACCTGCTATAACTGCCGGGTATTTCTATAACATCCAGAAGTGACCCAGGAAGTATTCACCGTACTGTGCTGAGGCGTGTAGACATACGAAATCCCTGACTTAGGGAATTTTTTGTACCACATTTTGTTCAGTGTGTTTAGAGGTATACCAAGGACGTGAAGTACTCTAGAAAAGTTCTTGTACACTGAAATTATCTAAAATGCAAGTAGTATTGATTCAAAGCCTAAAATTCCACTTGAATCAAGGCTACACAAAAGAAAAATTACCTCTCAGCCCATTGCACAGAACTATGACTGTGCACTATTGCACAGAACTATGACACTGAATTATGACTCTGGTTGCAGTGGTCTGGTTCACTCATGTTTCAGTCTTAGAGAATCATAACTTTTATATTATTCTTTCCCATTTCCAGGGCTTCCTGCATTTCCAGGTTCCCCTGTGGCATTTCATGCCTGTGTTTGAATGACATGTTAGCCCACACTTTATAAAGCTGAATTTAATTTTGTTTATAATTCCCATGTTTATACTGTCACTTCTTCCTGCCCGTACTAAATGTTCCATTCCTGCAAGTTTTTGATGGGTACTGTTATGAGAGGATGGGTTTAGTATGTTGATTAAATTATTAATGAATAGCTTAAGGATCTTCACTAAAACCCACCTTTTCATTCAGAGGATGGCAAATGATGTTTCCCTCAGTTTTTATTTCTTTGCCCCATTTTCAGTTCAGGTTCTTAATTGACATTCGTACATGGTGTAATGGGATTAATGATATGTACCTCATTATCAATAGTTCTGAAGACATTATTTTTTCACTAGCTATGCTATAGAATATATCTTCTTATGCTTAGAGAAGACTGAATAAGTGCAGCATCATAATAGAAATGAATAACGGGACGGGTAGTTTTCTGCTTTTGTGGCATGGTGAGTCTTATTTTGTTACACAGAGTTCTGGAACAGAACAAGTCTCTTCTTCTATTGAATAGAATTAATGGGGCAAAGCCTGATTCAGCAAAGCTTTAAGATTCTACCTAAAATCCATTGACTGCAGTAGGCTAAACTTGCCTGAAGTTAAGCGTATATCTAAATAATTTACTGAAGCAAAACCTAAACGTTACTCACAAACAGCATTATATTTAGCAGCTAGGTAAGAAGAAAACATGATAGAAGGGCATCTGGCATGTATTGAAGGTGAAAGAAAGATTTAAGGAGAGGGATGGAAATTGGCATTTATTTCTGTGACCTAACTTTGATTTATTCAGAGCTAAATTCACTGTCTGGCTGAGAACAGTTGAATATGCAACTGAACTGGTTGGAGAAAGGACGGCAAGAGGGGACCTACTCGATACACGCAGAGCAACAGCCCCGGGCGTTAACTTTGGCAGGTTTTGACCTGAGACAGCTCTTGCTACTCCAGCACTGTATGTGCAGTTTGGAAACTGCAATTAGTCATCAGATCTCCTGCTCTATCCAATGCATCCCTTCCTAACACTTCGGCAAAAATTAAGGCCAAATACCAGCACAAATTCCTAAACAACAAAGCTGAAGTCTGAGTTCATTTTGCACTGTTCAAGAGTAGAAAATGCATCATGCATTAGATGAATTCAGCATCTGTTAGATGAAACTAAATCTCCAGCTCTTAGTAATACCTGCTGATGGCACAGAGATAACCTGTTGCCTCCTGCCCAGCCCAGAACACCAGCTTCTCTGTCAGCTCTGCATAACTGCACCACTGACACCTACAGTAACACACTGTGCTTCCCAGCTGCCAGCATTTGCCAGAAATACGTGAAATATTTTCCTTCAACATTTTTGTGAATCCTCTCCTTTTAATTTTGAAAATATTCCCTTTTCACTTTCTAATTACTTTTAGTAGCTAGCTATTTGTTAATATAGGGCTTGAGACTTTTTAACTAGTGACAAGGTCCTTTTCTTAATTCACCGGAGGACAAATTAGAAATAGGTATAAAATCTCAGGTTATCATACTCTTTATTTACAGCTCTCAGTTTTGCCTGTCCAACCATCTAACACTATTAATTATCAATAGGTGACATCCCAAGAAAACCTTTATACCCACCTCTTCCACCACGACCGGGAAGCCATAGTAATTCTGGTAAGAATATTTTCTCCTAAGAAAATCTAGCACTATGAGCTGTTCAGAGCAGATATTTTGAATAGTTTACTCTCTTAATTCTTTATTAATAGTTTTTATCATCCCTTCACTCCATCTCCCTTTTGTAATCACTGTTCCTGACCCAGGGTTTTGGGCTCTTCTGTCTGCCCAAAATGTGGGACGTTGACTCCTACATGGCATGAGACTAACACTCATCTTGGTTGCCTTTTCATTTTCGGTATGTATACACTGAACCATGCTAAGGTTCAAATTTGATATCCAGCCACAGGGCGTGGATAAGCTTATGTTCAGATCCATACTGAGATGTGCATCTGAGATGGCCCTGGGGCATACAACAGGTGGGACTGGGGAGATGGATGTAAGCCTGTATTGCTTTTGAGTGTGGTCCCAGACACCCACTTAAATAAAGTGGAAGTGGCACATCTATCCCAGCTACCATCATGTATCCCGTATTTACTTCTGGCATGATTGTAGTGGTGAGCCGTGGGCAGGTCTTTCTGGAGTCCTTCTGGAGTCTTTCCTGGAAGGGACCCACTGACTTCCTGCTCCAGGAACCGCTGGGATTTGAGATGTCCATATTACATAACGATTTGTGCTACTGAGAGCTCAAGCCCACACATCCCACAAGTGCCAATACAGCTGCAGAACAGGTAGACACCAACAGCTTTAGTACTCCAGCTTCCAGGTGAATTTGAACAGGCGACCATTCAGTGCAAGACACCTGACCTATCCGCCATGTCGAAGCTGGGATTTCAAAGGTTTCTTAGCCCTCCTTAGTGCATTTCAAAAAGACTGGACAAGGGAGCTGAAGGGGTTACCATTGATCAGATAATTTTGCAAAAGAAATCCTGATCTTTATCTTGCAGGAGGTTTTGATGACTCAGATCTCCTTGATGGGAAGCCTTTACCACCGCACGTAACAGGTAGTATTTGCCAATTCTCCTTGCAGCTTCTCCCTAATACTTGCAACTTGGAGCTGGCTGGTTTTACTTTAGTGGTAATCTGTTGTCACTGAAGGTATAGGACAAGACTCTGCTATTTTTATTTAAATTAGTTATTCTTCTCCACAAACCATGGCTTGGAGCCTGAAGCTCAAACTTGAAACACATTCCTAAACATTTTGTAGCGTTCTGGCACATGCCAGAACCTTGCAGGATTAATCCCTTTGAATTCAGCTAGGACAGTCCCAAAGCAAGGGGCTTCTGCTGAGAACTGAAAGTAGATGCACCAGGCCTATGATCTTGACTTAAATTACTGATAAATCATCTGATTGTCTGGCAGTAAAGAATAGCCAGAGGATACTGGCCTCCCACTCCCTGTGAAATCAGCTTGATGTAGACTGCTAAGTATTATCCTTTTTTTAGAAGATAATATTCTTCTCCAAAAACGAAGTGTCTATCTCAATAGTTATTCCCCCAGCCAGTGCAGCTGTCAGTCAGGACTGGAAGGGGAGCTCCTCTCTCACAGTCCTGTCGAGCTGCCCCCTTTTGCCTTCTGTACGAAATCACACTTGGCGTGATTGAGACTTTGTTCTCAAAACAAGATGAAAAATATTTCTTGATGAAACTTCACCCTCTATTCCAGGAGAAGAAGAGCATCATTTCAATCATGGAGGAAACACGGGTATAGTAAATAATCTATTCTATAATTCCGATCATCATAAAATAGTAAGAAAATGTTAGCCTTACAAAGTACATATACTAAATTAGGCTTTAAGACACCATTTTCACACCAGCTGTAATGTAGCATAATTTCTAGTCTTCTGCTTAACTCTGTTTAATGAATTTCCAATGTTTCACCAAACAATTCTCATAGTTTGGCAAAAGCACACCTTAGTAGAGAATATGCTTAAGTCAAACCATTTCAGTGCCTCTGAAAAAAATCTCTCTCTTCTTCCACAGATTCAGGATTAATAGCTGGAGTTACATCTCCTATAATTTCTGCTTTTGTAATATTAGTTGTTGGATCAATAGCGGCCTACTCTGCTTATAAGAACAAGAAACTTTGTTTCAAACCACATGGTAAGACCAAATTGGTTTCCAGCTTTCCGAGTTGACTTAGCGCTGGAGCAGATGGGAATTTTAGCAACAATTTCAGTGGGGGCAGAAATAGGTCAGGGATGAGGGCATTCGAAAATCTTGTCCTAAACAAACTCACTGGTCTGTAAGATATACTGGTAATTAATGTTTTTCATCAAGAACAAGTATAGGAAGCCATAATGTGCCCAGAAGTTGGATGTACGTAACTTTATGAAGGAAATTACATGACGTGAGGTCTCTGCCACCACAGAGGTGACTGACTGTCATGGCCCTGTGTGTGGAGACCAGTCTGCGTGGCCCAGATCAGCCTTGCCTGGGGCATCCCCATGTATCCTCTGGCCAGGGCCCCCATTTCAGCTCTGGCCTGGGTGGGCCTCCTGCCCCGGCCTGTGCCACGTCCCTGGCACGCCCGCCCCGTCCATGAGCCCGGATGGCTGGCTGGGTCTCCTGGCTTGGCCTTGGGGGGGCCCGTTGCCTTGTCTTCATCTGTCCATGGCGGGCCCATCCATGGGGCCTGTTTGCCATCACCCCCCCTCTGTGCGTGCCTGCCACTGGGGATGCGGCTGCCCTTGGCTCCCAGCTCTTTGGGAACAGCCTGGCCCTGGCCCTTAGCTGCCACAGAGGTCAATTTAAACCTCTAATTCGTGTTATTTGTTCCATAACGGGACTAACGACTAAGACACGAGTGAAACACAGGAGGTGTGTGGAGAAGCTTCACAGGCATTTCTGAGAGATCTGGGATCCTCCGGCGCTTCAGAAAGCCTCGGCCTGGGGCTGCCACAGCGCGCTCCGGGGTGGCTGCTGCTGGCCGGCTGCCGGGGGAAGGCTTGGGCTGGGTTTCACAGGGGAGATTCAGCCGGATCACGGCCCGGGATGTCCCGGGAGAGGCCTGTCAGGGCCGTGAAGGCTGTCTGTGCCCTCAGGGTCTGACAGTCACTTATTTTCCTCTGTTTCTATGGCCGGGCTGTAACTAAAGCGTCAGGTCAGTGACTCTGCGGCCCTCTGGAGATGGGGAGTGAGACAACTGGGGAAGGCTGTCTGTATGTCTCTGGGGATACGAGGCTCCCACCTGCTGCCTCAAAAGGACTGGAGCAAAAAAAGCCCAGAAGAGCTGGCAAAGGGCATCCGCGGTGGAAATGCTGAATGTTCAATCTTCATTTTTCAGGCGGGGCTACAGTGTAAACCGCTGAAAGAAGAGTTGCCCTCTGATCACAGGCTCCTTTGGTTGGTGACATTCAGCCCACAGAACAGACAATTTTTTTTCTACTTTATCATTCTGACAAAAGAAAAATCTTCCTCTAATGAACGTTTTGTTGAGACATATTGCAATCCTACTCTTTTTTACCTGATGTCACTCTTGCACCTTGAGCTTTACATCATCAAAAATGTGCTTAAAACGTCTGGGGATGGTATTGAACTATCTGACCTGCAATCATAAAGGTTGGATATGCATTTTGATTCAGAAGTTATTTTAAACAACAAATAAATCAAGTTTAAGATAAGCTAAAAATGGAAAGATTTTGGTTTGTGAGCATTTGAGTCACCGAACAATTTTTTTTCCTGTTTTCAAAATTAGCCAAAATACTTAATCCTTCTGATAGAATAGGAATAAGGAAATTGCCATTTCCATTCATACATGTTGGGTTTCTTTAGTATATTTCTGTATTGTCTAAAATGTTCAAGAAAAACCTGAAGTTGTATAAAGGATTACAAATTTTAATGCCTTTACTTTGTATTTATGTCTGAATTCTAGCAAAGTGAAAGGAGCTATAGATGGAAAATTCATTCTTAGTTTTAAAATATAGCATGAAAGAATATGTACGTTGACGAACCACTGTTTAAAAAAAAATAAAAATGAGGAACACGTGCTGATTTATTTATTTATTTATTTGTTTGTTTGTTATTGAAATGGTGTTTAGCTCTTCTCAGGAACTGGAATTTGACATAAATTTTGTTTCTCCTTGCAAATGTAGTTCCTGCTCTAGAAGCTTTTAAAGGCATTAATCTGGCAGGCTGGTTTTTTAAAGAACCATATTATTCATAATTTCTGTAAAGGGAAAATAGGCACAAAGTTTTCAGAATCACTTAGAACGAGTCTGTGGCACTTTGTTCTATAAAATCTACGTCACACCAGCTTTAAATGTCATACATCTGCAGAGGTATGGTTGATAGAGTTTTGCTAGCAGGGCTGTTTCATCTTTTTCCCTTGTTTCTGATCAACCTTGCTGTGCTAACGAATGTCCTTATGTAGACAAATCTATTGACAAAAACTAACACTTTTCCAGTCTCTCTGCCTTCATTTAGTTAACTGAATCCAAATACTAGGAGATGAATGAAATGCAGATGAAAGCTGGCAAAACTAGTAGTCTACTGACATAATTCCACAATACAGCCATTTTAGTTAACTCTTTAAAGCAAGGAGGAAATCTGTGTTTTATCTTCAGCTTATAGGTGAAGTATGCTTTTTCTTACTGACATTCCATGTAGAATGGAGGTAAACATGATTTTGTGTTTATTAAATTGTCGAAAGACATCATCTGAAAAAGTACTCTTTTCATAAAATAAAATACTACACTATCTCAATTATATTTGAAATGGATATATATCAGTTGCTGAGGCGATTACCATAATCTTTATTTTGATCCTGAAAGTAATAAATGATTATGTACATCAGTTTAAATACAGAAACGTCTTGACAACACATAAACGAGTGAGCACCTTTGTGGCTATCACTTTCAACTTATGAATGATAACATATTTTTACTATGGTTTTCAAGGACACTTGATATTTCTTTAAAAATGCTAATTTTCCATGTTAATAGTTAAAACAGATTCATATATATTTTGCCAGGTAGACATAAAGTTTTGATTAATGAAACGTTAGTGTTTTGTGGTTACCACTCCAGTTGTTTGTTTAACAATGAAAATATATATTTTGCTTCTTTCTCTTGAAAATTTTCAATAAACACATACTAGGTTTTATCTAAGTTGATCTAAGTTTTGTTTGTTTTGTTTGTTACTTTCTGGGACATATGCCGGCTGGTATCTTCTATATACAAATTCATCTATGTCCCTCTAGGGAAGAGAAAGAAATGCTTCAAATTAAAGACTTTAGGGAAAAAAAGAAGACAGTTTAAGAATCTTTTTTTTACAGGAGCAGTGTCCAGAGAAGGACCTATGTGCATTATGAACATTTTTGCTTTTGATATATTATTACGATTTATTTAAACTCGTCCGTAGTATTTTCAAACGAATTTCTTACTTGTGTTAATATTATTAGCTGAAAACCAGATTTTATTATGGAGCATTTGAGCAAAACCCATGAACCTGAATTGGTAAACCCTGCCCACCCAAGTGTTTAACCCTCTGAAGCTCTTTGGTCTAATTACATCAACATACGACCAACATACCGGTGTGCAGGCACACTTTCCAGTGTTAAATATCCTTTGAACTAAGATGATGATGATGATGATAATTCTATAATAATTGTAGTAATAACAATAATTATTATTATTTCAGATAATTGGGGGTTTATGTAGGGAAGCTCTAACATATTTAAATCTGGAGGGGAAAGAAGGAATACAAACTGGCTGTTAGACCATCAGAACTCTAGCTTGTATTATTGGCTCTGACATTTAAAATCTATTCCATACTGTAAAAAAGTTGCTGGCACACAAGTGAAACAGAAAATCATCTAAATGTAGACATTTTTATTACCAAGAAAATGCTTTTGTTGATTATAAAGTCCGCCAACTGAAACAGAGCTGCCAGTAGAATTATTTACAATAGTGGTCTTGCTACTCACGGTTTAGTTGACCTGTCTACATGAGCAGATGATGAACACATTTCCTGAGAATTTTGTTTCTGCGGGATAAGTAAAGCTTGATTTCCTATGCATTTACGTCCTTCCTTCCTTAAACACCTCGCCACCACCAGAGCAATGACACCCTCTTCTCTGGTGGACCTTCAGGATCCTCCCAGTATGTGAGAGAACAAATGCTGCGGCTTGGAGTGGCAACACTGATCACCTGCAAATTCCTGGAAAGTAAGCTTTAAATAGTTGAGTGGCATGTGCGTTTTCTTCGGTGGCACAGTGTCTTAAATCGTTGTCCTCTGCGAAGAAGTTACTGATGTTCACAGAGGAGTTTGAGGCAAAAACGCCTCGGCTGAACCACATCAGCCTAAAACTACCTTGCAGAGACATTGTGTGGCTGAATTACATGCAACGGTTACCTCACTTCCAAGTTACTGGCAGAAACACGCCGTACGAATGTATGTCCATTTATAGATATATTTGTGAAAATATATACAGCACTCTGAATAGCACAAGCTCTCTGAAAACATTTATTTATTTATCTGGGTGACAAATTATCAGACTGTGTGCATCTGCAGGGGTTACGATGGCTCCAGAGTCTCAGTGAAGGGGCAGGCTCCCTCATGGTGGATCCCATGTAGCTGGGTTGCCGTAAGCCACGCTGGAGTCACCCTACTCGTGCTCCAAGATCTTTTTTCCAGGCTCTGCAATCTTCACCATCAAAGACACCGACGTTTTCCTCGACGGGCTGCACGGCAGTCTCCAGACCCAGCCTACCTTTCTTCCTCTCCGTTTCTGCACAGCAGTGTGCTGGCGGGGAGGCTGTGGAGCAATCGAAGGAGCACGGGGGGCGGGAGGCGGCCCCCACGCCCCCCGTTTTGTCAGCCTGCC